GAAGAAGAGGCAGAGGCCGGCGTGGTGCCAGTTCCCCCTCCATCCCTACTCTCACCCAAAACCCTAAGTGTCTACATGCAAACCTTGGGGGTAGGCACAGGCACAGGAGGCGAGAGTGGTGCCATCCTACCACCTATAGCCATAGAGTGTTTCTCACAAGTGATGGGTCAAATGCAGAGCACAAATTTCATCATTGTATGGGAACATACTGTACACTGATGACCAATAAAGCACCTTTACCCTTATCTTTACCCTTAAGAGTGCCCACCCCAAGGAGTGAGGTTTTCATTAGTTTATTTGAYGCTACTTTCTTTTGAGGTAGGGCGAGATGTAGACAGTCTATAGGGACTGCTTCTTGCCCCTGAGATGTCAACCCATTCTCACTCCCAAGTTGTCACATATTGACGCTTTTCCAAAGTTCCCTCTGCGTCCGATTTTGACACGTCAAGTACTCCCCTTGCGTCATTTTTTTGACAAGATGGGGCGGAATCTGTTGTCATAATTTCAGAAAGTGTAGAAAATGCACAAAAAATACCGTCCCAAAGCCTAAAATTACCTTTATTCACTTTAGACATCCTGCCCTGACCATAGTACCTAAAATTAACCATTAACCCTGATACCTAAAATTAACCATTTTTAGAAAATGTAGGAAATTCACATCAACTACGTGTTCCAAAGCCTAAAATTACCTAATATTCACTGTAGACATCCTATCCCTGAYCCCAATACCTAAACTTAACCATTAATCCTGATCCCTCATGTTAACCTCAGACCCCCGACCCAAAGACCCCTGGTGGYGCAACCTGGAAMAGCTGCGAGCGGCAAGGACTGACGCAAGGGGTTCACCCGATGCGTCCAAATAAGACGCAGAGGGAACTTTGGAAAAGCGTCAATGTGTTGAGTAGTCGGGCGTGAAAATGTGTTAAGAGATGTGACTTGCCCAAGTATGCTCAAAATGCAAAAGAAATTGACTGCACTTATTAAAAAATACTTTAAAAATATTTATTTTTTCAGTTTCTGCATGCAAATAAATGAACACCAAAAATACATAACTAATACTTTATTATTATTATAACTTTTTTTAAAGGCAGGATCAAAATATTAAAATTAAAACAAAATTAACAATACTTATCCAGCTATAATGTTTTATGCTGTTTTTTTTTTCTGATTCAGGATATTATACAATATGTGCTTATACAGTATTACTGSCTATGATTCTTGTGCACCGTTCTGGCTAACTGTCTCTGTTCCAAATGTAATTTCTCGGTTGTCTCCTGTTTTTCAGTCCCTGGATGTGGGTTTTCCTCGGGGGACTGACTACTATCCTCCTGTTTTTGCTGACATGGCGTCTAGAAATCAGGAAGGTAACCTCTGGTGGAACACGGTCAGGTCTATTCTGTCTGCTGCTGGCTTAAACACTTCTTGTTATGCATGCTCCCTGTTTCCTCATGATGCAAGTATGTCACTTCCTGTTAAACATCGTCCTTTGAACTCAACTGAGTGGAGAATAAACTGGCACCCGTTCGAAACTCTCTGCGTCTGGCTCATTTAATCCAAGTTGCCGCCACATTTGTGAAACTTTATATTTTGTAATATATTACCATAAAAACGAATTGGTTTCTTAATTACTGAGCATTTAATGCGAATGAAAAGAGTTGTGGCTCAGTTGGTAGAGCTGAWGCCTCTCAGAAA